CATAAGGATGTTTATCGCATTGCGTGTGTGTGTGTAATTTAATTTTTTCGAGTCCAACTCTATTTGTGTTGGGCTCGTTTATATATTGAGCACAAAAAAGTTGTCTGCGTTCGATTTGTTTGCTTAGCAAGCGAATCGAACAAGAGCTAATTAACGAGTCAAACACGAGTTGTTTGCAAACAACCAGTCATTTTGATAGCTCTACTTATATGTATGAAAATGTCATTCATCAGACCTTATCACCATTAACAACAATAGGTTCTTCAGGCTCACTATGAGTAAGGGAATAAACTCGAGATCAAACTAGCTTTCTTAGTTGAACTTAGGTAGGAGCTGAAGCTATAAGTTCTATTCTTTTATGCCCACCTACAGTCTTCTGTGAAGGAGGTCCACTAGATTTATGATCTTCAGCGGTCTTCCGTTCAAGCGATGGACAATATCTTGTTATATACACAGGCGACGACCCCAATAACATGTGTTAAAGCCCATCAAACATTCACCCTATGTTATTTTCCGCATTTGGCACATTTGACTACATTACTCTAAGACATGCCTTTGTTAAATCCACCTGACTTAAACTTGAACTTCTTTCCATTGGATCATTCTAATTGATCTACATGTTCTCCTTCATCAATACTCTTCTACTTGTACGTCTTCTTACGCTTCTGAGTAAGCTCATAATCGATATCCACGCTTCTAGCACGTTCCATTAATACTGAGTATTTATCGATCTTCAAAGGCACCAATAGTTGTCTGATCAAATCCTTAATTCTGAAAAGAACGGGGATCGATTTTTGATGTCACATGCATAGGATGCCCACTTACACTATTGAACCATGCTTGATGCATGCGTTGATTTCCGTAGTGCAAAACACCCATTTGAGACCCTCTGACGCTTATTGAAAGGGCATACAGCCAAAGTTGTTCTGCTAGACTATGTTCATTTAGATGAACAATGGTCGACATCTGTCCGTCGGAGGGCTTCGGTCGAACAACAGATTTCCATCGAGCTCAAATTGCCTTGAATGTTGCCAAAATTGTTCAGACGTCCTCGAATCGTGAAAATAAGTGCCCGAGCGCATCTGAAACATCGAATTTACCTAGAAATGACACTCACATTGTTGTTGTTTCGTGCACGAGTTAGCAGCACGTAAATCAAGTTGCTTAATATAAATATATAAGGGATGATGCCCTAGCAAAAAAAAGAGGATCGACCCTCCTCCCATTTTGGTCTGGAGACTAATTGCGCTCTTCTCGTGCGTGAAACCCTCCATCGCGGCCCTCTCACGCTCGCGTCCCCACCAGCAAGCTCACTCTGGCAGTCGGATCTCCTCCTTGCTGGTCGTGCTAGCCTTTCCCCTCTCGTGCGCAAAAACTGTGTCGCGCTTCACCCAGTCGAGCTCCCTCTCGGTCTCTTGCCTCTCTGCCGTCAGCGAACGCCTGCCTCCCTCTTGCCTGAAACCTTCACGCCATTCCTCCCTTCTGAGAGGCTTGCTTGGCCTTCCGCCTCAAGCCCAAAGTCCTCTCGGTTTGACTTATACAGGTCCCGAAACTCCCATCTCTTCTCCCCATCTGCATCGCTCCTACACGGAACCAAGGAGGCAAATGGATGAAGGTAATCTGCAACATCTACGACTGAAATCGGTTAATTCCTGTTCTAAATCCGTCTGTCGGCAATCTCACCACCTCTTTCGGTCGGCTCTCCCTTTCACGGGATCATGCGCCTCCCTCTCACGTGCAAAGCTTGGTCGCCTCCTTCCCTTGCGGGAGGCAACCAAAGCATCGGCGATCTCATCGGCTTCCATCTCCTTTCAGTCAAAAGCCTTGTCGGAGCTCTGATCACTAGAGGGGCGGCGACAACATTAGGGCATATATAGCCCTGAACAAACCGTCTAGCAAAGGTATGCTCATATTTATATATGCTAGGATCGTTTATCGAAGATATATACTTGCATACCTCATGTCTCTCTTTTTCGTCCTTCGTATGCCTTGCGAGGTACATCGATTTGTGCATTGAACACCAATTGAAAGAGAAGAGCTTAGAGCAAGCAAGAGAACACGTCTACAACTGCCATGACAAAGAGACATTTTCTAAACTAGGTGTGTTTCCTTTCTAACAAGCCTCCTAGGTTATGTGTTAAGTTATATGATTTAAGCTGATGTTAGAAGAAACCCCTAGACTAGGAAGTTTTTCATTGTGATCCCCCTCCTAGGGTTGGCATAGCTCAAGATGAGATTGTACTAATCTCGTTGTTTGTCTCGACGACTTCATTTGGATGAACATTTGAAGCCTACCAACCAAGAGAATAAAGACGTTGCTTTGGTCTTCTTTCTCTCGGTCACGAAGAGTTCTCCTTGCGAGAAACCTCAGCTTTATGTCGGGCGAACGAAAGTGAGTATCTTGTTGCCACACACAATAAAATGTCAGTACACTTCTCCATTCATTTGGGTTTTAGATCCTATGTGAGTTCGATAAGTGGTTTTGATTTGCCATAAGGATGTTTATCGCATTGCATCATATTTGTGCGTTTTGCATGTCATTTGCCCCATGTGTAATGCACGTTTTTTAAAATATGCATAAAAATATAGTTTTACGATGTGATGTTGATCAGCCCCCCATTGTTGTTTGGTCTGGTCGTTCGCTTACCTTCGGTCAGCTCAATAGCTTGCCTGATTCCGTTCGATTTGATCGGTCGCCCCTTATTGGATGGCTTGATCGATCGTACGATTTCGGTCAGTTCGAAAAACCATATATCTTTGGTTGGTCGATCTTAATAGCATTACATTTTGCACCAACATGTTCACGTTCGTATAATGCATTTCTTGCGTGCATACGTGAGTGAACGGGTTCATTTGTGCTATGAGCAAAGTGTAATTCCCTTTGGGTGGCTTGTATCAGGCACAACCAAATCCAAATTCATTTGCATGTTGAATCATGATTGTTTGTATGTATATCATACGATTGCTACATCATGCGGACTTTCACGTGCACCTTGGAGCATTTCGTAGTGAGCATATGTTGTCATATGCCTGCAATGAATGCGCAACAAATATTGAGGGTGGTTAGCTCACTTAGTGCTAGTCTACCTTGGGAATCGTTCGGCGAGTCATAACGCTCATTGTGTGACCCCGTCATGATGTCTCGTCTAT